GGAGCCCCTTCTTGACTGAGGGAGTTCTGAGGGGAGTTCAGGTTTCCCTCAGTCTGGTGTGCATGGACAGACTTTGTGTTTGGTGTTTCTGTCTTGTCCTTGCTCGGTTCAGCAGGCCGGACACGTTCGGCCTGCTTTTGGGTTTTCTTTCGCCCCCCTGCAGCCTTGAAAGGCTCCAGGGTGACTGCCATGGTCTGATTCATTTTGTGGTCATTTAGAGAGTTGGAAACAGATTGGTCCCCTTTCGGGGATTATCTTTATACCTACTCTCTGGGTGAGGTCTTAAGAAGGGCCTCAAAAAAAGCTCTGATCCCTACACTCGACCCTTCAGCACCACAGGACAGGAGATCCCCCTGGGTGGGCTGAACTCGGAGTTTTGGTGTGGTAAACGCTCTGTACCCCAATCCTGCTACAAAGGGGGTGTGATCACGTCACCGCAGCCCAGGCGAATGTTGGAAATCGACGTTTCCCGCAGGCCCAGGCTGCACCAGGAAGTCAGAAGGAGGGGGCAAGAGTTAGGCACCGAAAAGTCACCCTTGGTGTGTGGCCATAAACTATGTCCAGGACCAGTGGGTCCAGACCTGGTTTGTAACCTCGCTCTCCAAGGGAGCGGTAGTGGGGCACTTACTACAAGAGAAGGCCTGGCCAATTGTCGGGCGAACCACGAATTGGCGAGCTCTCTGTGTAGTTTGTTGTCAAAGAGTATCAAAATCAAGTCAAGTCTGTGGCTTTTGCTCTGGAGGATCACGCCAAGTGTGACAATAATGCCTCGCCAGTTGGTGATCTCTCTCTGCCACAGGGAGAGGGCCTGTGAAGTGTGTACACCACAGGGGAGAGGACCTGTGTGTGGTCCTGTGACAAAGGGAGAGTAAGCGGTATAAGAGGGAAAGGAGGAGAAGCACTCGGGAACCACGGGGCAGGTGAGGACAGGAGAGAAAGAAGCAAGACCAGGTCGAAGGATCAGGCGGTCTATGTGACGGGTGACCGGCATAAGGGAGGAGACGAAGGATGTGGGAAGCGAGGAGGCTGTCGCTTTCCCAGGGAAAGGGGGAGGGGAGGAAAAGGAGGAGGGGAGGGGAGGAAAGGAGGAGAGGGGAAGGGAGGGAAAGGAGGAGGGGAGGGCACGGATTTGTTTAGGCTAACCGAACCGAACCTACAGAGGTCATACAAGGCCACGAGGCAGTGTATACTAGCTAAACATGATGATGGTGCTACAAAAATGGCTAAGATTTAGAATCCCCGATCGGTAGTGACGCAAATCTGTGGCACACAATGGAAATCCATAATCCACTGCGGCTTTTTTCCGTCAACGAATGGCTTCTTTTGGACAGCGATCGTAGATTCTAAATCCGTCCCCTAGCTACCTACATATACAGGATCACACACCTCTGGCTTGGCCGCACCCCGGTTCCTTTGCTTTTGGATGCACCGCCATACTTGCATCTGCTTTGTTACGTTGCCCTTCTCTAATTCAAATGCGCTTTATGAACGGTTCTGGCATCCCTTAGTGTAAACACGAACAAATGCGCCTTCTGAAACTCTTCAAGCTTCATTAGGAAATCTTCAAATGTGTGCTAATGCATTTTCTTGTTGCTCGGGCGAACTACCACCATCGGGAACCGCAGCCTTGTTCAGGTTTTCTTCGGAAGTACTCGGCCGCGTTCGACGACCTCATCGCAATTCGAGGAAGTGTTCCGGTTGTCCGTCCGTGCAGAGATTTTCTGCAGATAGAGAAACGGATGCGCTTCCATATGGTGATTTTCGGGCTAAGCGGCACGGAATTTTTCCGTTTCTATAACCACTTCTATATATATATATATATATATATATATATATATATATATATATATATATATATATATATATATATGTGTGTGTGTGTGTGTGTGTGTGTGTGTGTGTGTGTGTGTGTGTGTGTGTGATTGTGTATGTATGTATGTATATATGTATATATTGATAGATATAGATAGATGCCCACGTCATTATTACATACCGTTATGCCAATACGGACATGATCAATTCCATAAATTATAATTATTTGATATTTTTTTCTTCAAACAAGCAAAAATGAAAATTAACTGATATTGAATGAGAGTAGTTTCACAGGTAGAGGAATGACGGTTGCCTAGGTAGAGTTATGACAACATATTCAGTGCGGTACACTGCATAAGGTGAACAAGGCAAATGTAACACCGGTAGTATATGCACCACAGGTTGGCTGAAAAAATATCTGTGTATGATATTTAATGTGCATTTGTTATCCGTAAGGGATATGCATTCTTTATCGAAGTTGTCATCAAATATAGGATTTTTTTCTCACTCCAATTCCTCTTTGGTCCCGGTTTTGGGATATCAGAAGAGACAGAATTATATGTCATGGATATGATTAATAGAGGTACAGAGATTTAACACAAACTGGTATGAATGATAATGAATAGCTTCACAGTGCAAGAGTTGTCTTTGACCGGTGTCGATGTCTTTGTCAGAAATATATGAATTCCATAGGAAGATATGAGTGTAAGCGGTCAAATACATATCTTGCGCCGTAAAGATATTCATGATCATTCACTCCAGTTCTCGTTGGTTCATTCCTATTCTACTCGGTTACAAGTGCATGGAAAAGCGATATTTTAGATGCTAAACAGTGATGAGTTAGAGACTTCTTTTTTGTGCTACTGGATTAGATGAAACGTAGTTTGAAGCAGCGTTGATAAAGGAAATGATGTTAGATAAAAATACTTGCACTTAGAATTTGCAAACCCAGCAGAGCATGAACGAACTGGATTGTAGTGTATCGATGACGGTTAAATGTAAATATAATCCCACACGACCTTTTTTGCGTATTGAATTTTAATACATTTATTATGACTTTCCATGTGCTAGCAATTATAGGTTTATCTCTATGTAAGTTTGTTTTATCTTTATATAATACATTTACCATTAATAGCTCAGCAAGTAATCGCTCTAGGTCATAATCCTCCCCTCTTTCCACGGATTTATATGGGACATTGGCTGATGGCGTTGCTTAGTTAAATCTAGTTTAGGTTCCCGATCGACCCGTGTTGCCATTTAGATCGCTATTTATTTACTAGTTGAATGAATTATAAACTCGCTAACAAATGAAGATTGCCCATGTGGCGCTACCTGTAGGAGGGAAGGGAACTACAGAGAAAAC